CAACAGCCCGACACCACGGCAACAGCCCGACACCACGGCAACAGCCCGACACCACGGGGACAGCCCGACACCACGGCAACAGCCGGAAACACAACAGCCCGACACCACGGCAACAGCCCGACACCACGGCAACAGCCCGACACCACGGGGACAGCCCGACACACAACAGCCGGACACCACGGCAACAGCCGGAAACACAACAGCCCGACACCACGGGGACAGCCGGAAACACAACAGCCGGACACGATGGGGACAGCCGGACACACAACAGCCAGACACGACAGCCGGAACGACAACAGCCGGACACGGGGACAGCCAGAAACACAACAGCCGGACACCACAGGGACAGCCGGACACACAACAACAGCCGGACACGATGGGGACAGCCGGAAACACAACAGCCAGACACCACGGGGACAGCCAGAAACACAACAACAGCCGGACACCACGGGAACAGCCGGAAACACAACAGCCGGACACGGGAACAGCCGGACACGGGGACAGCCGGAAACACAACAGCCGGACACGACAGGGACAGCCAGAAACACAACAGCCGGACACGGGAACAGCCGGAACGGGAACCGCCGGACACGACAGCCGGAACCGGAACAGCCGGACACAATGGGGACAGCCAGAACCACAACAGCCGAACACGACAGCCGGAACCACAACAGCCGGACACGACGGGGACAGCCGGAACCACAACAGCCGGACACGGGAACAGCCGGAACCAGAACAGCCGGACACGATGGGGACAGCCGGAACCGGAACAGCCGGACACAGGAACAGCCGGAAACCACAGCCGGAAACCACAACGGGAAACGGGAAATGGGAAACGGAAACGAGAAACAAACAATGGGAAACGACAACCAGAACAACAGCCGGAAACAACAGCCGGAAACAACGGGAAATGGGAAACAATGGGAAATAATGGGAAACAACAGGAAACAATAGGAAACGGGAACGGGAAACAACGGGAAACAACGGGAATGGGAAACAACGGGAAACAACGGGAAACAATGGGAAACAATGGGAAATGGGAAACAACAATGGGAAATGGAAACAACGGGAAACAATGGGAACAGGAAATGGGAAATGGGAAATGGGAAACAACAATGGGAAACAACAGTGGGAAACGACAACGGGGAACCACAATGGGAAATGACAACAGGAAACATAAACGGGAAACAACAGGAAACGACAACAGCAGGAAACGACAACAGGAAAAAAATGGGAAATGGAAACGGGAAACAACAGTGGGGAACGACAATGGGAAACGACAATGGGAAACAACAATGGGAAACAATGGGAAACAGCAGGAAACAACAACGGGAAACAATGGGAAACAACGAGAAAACACAGAGAAAATAACGGGGAAAACAGCCGGGAAATCATGGGGAAAACAATGGGAAACAACGGGAAAAACAACGGGAAAACAACAGGAAATCACGGGGAAACAACGGGAATAGCAACAGGAAACAACCGGGGAACGACAGGGGAATAACAGGAAAAACAACAGGAAATGTGGGGTGGAAATGGGGAAAAATGGGAAATTTGGGAAAAATGGGAAATTTGGGAAAAATGGGAGCAACAGCAGCGGAGTGGGGGGAGGGCGGGAAGGGGGAGGGGAAAAGGAGAAAAACCGGGAAAAACAGGGAAAAAAAGGGAAAAAAAGGGAAAAAAAGGGAAAAAAAGGGAAAAACAGGGAAAAAAAGGGAAAAAAGGGAAAAAAAGGGAAAAACAGGAAAAAAAGGGGAAAAAAGGGAAAAACAGGGAAAAAAAGGGAAAAAAAGGGAAAAAAGGGAAAAAAAGGGAAAAAAGGGAAAAACAGGGAAAAAAGGGCAAAAAGGGCAAAAAGGGAAAAAAGGGAAAAAAGGGAAAAAAAGGGAAAAAAGGGAAAAAAGGGAAAAAAGGGAAAAACAGGGAAAA